CTGACAGTGCAGTTTCCTTTGTCTAAAACAGGGCTAACCAGCTTGCCCATGCAGGCAGATGTTGGGAGAACAAAAAAGAACATTGACAGAGAGCGGCGTCTGCGTCTGTGTCTTACTGGGGAAACCAGCATTTCACAGCGCGGCTCTTTGCTTCTAAATTCGGGTTTCTGAATTGCCGGAGAAGCGCTGGCTGTTTCTGTGCATACACGTGTTGCGTTGTAGGTTTGATTTTTAATACGGCAGATTTTGAGGGAATAAACTGTTTAAAGGTGCTTCCTTAGAGTGGAGCTTCTAACTGTGAGATGAGAGCCTAAACTCATTATTTGTATCTGTGGGTAAGTACCTGTGACCATGACCATTCCTGGAATCTTAGTTTTGGAACCGAGTTAATCCTTTAGCCATTGGAGTACCGTTTGCTTCCTGTGGTAAGCTGTGCTGTGAGAAACCCATTGGATTTTCTGTTCGACTGCTCTGTGAAATGCGAACCTCCCCATTTATCCTTTACTCGGACCTTGGAAAGCTGCGGGTCTGTTTGAGGCACTAAGTTCACGATAGAAAGGGACCCTGTGAGCGGTCTAAAACGGGCTGTGGGAAGGCGAGCTCAGGTCCGTGCTGTAACTCTGGTCTTCTCTTGCAGTTCATTCAGTGCGTCATGAGTGTGTGAACCCGGAGGAAGCGGGGTGCGCCGCGCCGCCTTCCGGCTTCCGGCCAGAGCTTGCTCCTGCCCGCGCTCACGCCTGGCCCCCGTGACAGGCGGGAACCTGCACCGCTGCTGAAAAGCTGTTGTGTTTAGTTTTGATAATAAATTCTTTGGAACTTTACAAATAGAAGATCTGTTATACCATTTGGAACTTCCTGGAGCCATTATCAGTCACACCTTATTTTCCTGCTCTCTCTTTTATCTAACCTTATATATGCAACATGTTGAAGGCGCGTTATATGTTTTTCATTGAGAGATTCTGAAAGTTATGAATTGGACGACACCTGTTACCTTTGCTCTCCTAGGCGGGCTTTCATATAGTGGCGACAGTATGCAGTACTCTGGTGTAAATGAATTAGCTCCACTTGAATGCAAAACATAAGTCATCCATGGAAAGGTTCACCTAGGGGAAACTGAGTCAGGCTTGAAGACTTCCAGATGTTTTGATGACTTTATGAATGGCAACGTGCGTGATTAGTCTTTGACTCTTTAAAGCCTATTTTGAGGAGTGAGCATTGAAGTGCGCCCCCACTTCCCAGTAGGGGTGCTGGTTCAAGTTCCAGCTACTCTGTCTGGTCCAGCTTTCTGCTAGTGCATCCTGGCTGGCGGGGGGGGGGGGGGGGTACAGCAGGTGATGATGGTTCGAGTACTTGGGCCTCTGCTTCCCCGATGGAGCTCCTGGCTGCGGGCTTTGACTTGGCCCAGTCCTTGCTATTGAGAACATTTAGGGAATCAACCAGTGGATGGAAGATACCTCTCTCTCTCTCTCACACTCTTCAAGTAGATGAAAATAAAGGGTAAACATTTCAAAAAGAATCCCTATGTGATTACTTCAGCAACATGCTGTCTGCACCAACTCCTCCTCCCTCATCATCCATTTAAACCTGTTAACTGTGCCTCTAAATCTTGTACATTAGAAACTGAAATATGTAAAAAAAAATGTCAGGAGAAGACTAAGGGAAAATAGGAAAATGTTAAGTACAGCTAATTTTTGCTAATGCAATTCTGGGTCTCTTGAATTTCCTTGTACATTTCATTATTTTCCAAATTTACTATAATATATATGTGTTCCTTCTAAAATGCTAATTTTTAAATAAGTAATATACCAATTTGGGTTTGCCATGTTTCCATGCTCTAAAACAAACAAAAATACTGGAAGGAGTGATCTGGCTCCCACTGGGAGTCTGGATCATGAGTTTGTTTTCTTCCTACTCCTTGTTCGAATATTTTCTAACAAGCAGTATTACATTTATAATGGAAATTTTTAGTTTTTTGTTTGAGAGACAAGCTCCCATCCACTAGTTCCCACTTGAAATGCTGGGGCTGGGCCTGGTTGAAACTGGGAGCCAGGAACACAACCCGGGTGTCCCGTGGGGGTGGTGGGAACCCAGTTACTTGAGCCATCACTGCTGCCTGATGGAGTCCACATGGGCAGGAGCCAGACTGAGGGACCCAGCGCAGGACTCGGTGTGAGACAGGGACATCGTGGCCGCGAGGCTCACAGCTGCTCTCCACCCTGCCCCAGCACACACAGATTCTGTACTCACAGGCGTTCCAAGGAAGCTCTGGATTCTAATCCTGTTTGTGCCTCTTAACTTGATGTGGTCATTGTAGATGACCTTGAGCCTCAGTTTCCCCGTCGTTGGAAAGAAGTTAAGGCTTACCTCCTGTGCCGTTCTAAACGTGAAATATGTTGATTTAAAAAGGATCAACAGTGGTTCTGTGTCTTACATTTAAAACTGGCTTGCTTTGCCTTTTTACTGCAATATAGTTATACAGCAAAGTGAATTCACTCAAAGTGGATTGAGTTTATTTTCTCCTCCTGGCAGAGTGCTTTTTTAGGGCACAGTGCTTGAGTTAATGAATAAATGAGTTAGATGATTAGTTGCCAACCAATGAAAATTAAAATTTTTTCTAAGCATCTCTAGTCTCATTTCACTAATGTACATTTTAAAAATATTGCTATATACATGGATATTCTTTGATTTGATGTATATTTATGCAACCCTGACATTTAATTCAAGTAATTCTGGCCAGGTTACAAATCAGCACTGTGAATGTTGGATGCCCCGTAGTCAATTCAGCTTGCATCCCAGATACACTGCCTGAGGCCATAGGGCCTGGAGTGAGCCTGGACTGTCCAGTCAAGGGCCAGAGAGGATGCCCAGAGGACCGGGGCAGGGAGCTCCCCTTCAGGGTCCATCCCAACACCTGCTCTTTGGCTTAAACTCTCCAGGGTCCTCGGAGTAAATCAGTTTAAGGAAATGGGAATATCCCAAGTATAAGCAGTGAAGTAGAAGGCTTTGGCTGACCGAGGCTCCGGGCCACATGGGAACCGCCCTATTGCTCAGTAAATCCCAAGGATGCTCCGTCAGTCGTGGTTCTGATTCTGTGTTTGGGGAAGCGCTGAAGCACAAAACCATGCCCTGGAAACACCTCACCTTACCCTCTGCATGGCTGCTTCCAACAGCCGAGGGCTTCGGTCTTTGGGAAGTCCCTGCTGTTAGGTGGTTTCCTTTGCTTGACAAATTTGATGAAGTCACCCCTCTGCCTTTTTTTTTTGAGATTTGCCTTGAAAAAGTTAGAGAGACAGAGAGCTCTTCCATCTACTGGTTCACTCCCCAGATGGCTGCAACAGCCAGGGTTGGGCCAGGCGGAGCCAGGAGCCAAGAACCAGAAGCTTCTTCTGGGTTTCCCACTTGAGTGGCAGGGGCCCAAGCACTTGGGTCATCCTCTACTGCTTTCCCAGGCACTTTACCAGGGAGCTGGATTGGAAATGGAACAGCTGGGGTCCCTGTGGGATGCCAGCATCATAGGCGGTGTGGTTTAACCAGCTGTGCCACAGTGCCAGCCCCACCCCATTCCTTTAAGTGCAGTGTCTGTTAGCGAATCTCCCGTCACCTGTGTCTACTGTATGTGGTTCTGTGTCTCACTGTGCACTCCCACTGCAGCCTCACCCACATCTTTCAAACTGTTTCTTTGGTAAAGGCATCCAGGTGAACATGGGAAAGCTGTGAGCTCAAATTTGCATACTTCCCCTGCTTGGAGATCTAATTTCCATGAATCACACCAAAGCAGAATTTCATGTTGTTTGGTCTCATGCTTCAGGAGATGCATGGTTTACTTAACACGTTCACTTGCACGGGACCATGGCTCCCTGGGCCTGGTGCCACCAGGGGATAACGAATGTGGATCTGTACCCCAGGAGGCATTGAACGAAGCCCTCACTCCCATGGATCCACGCTGGAGCTGGGGCTGCGCTTAGCATGATGACCTCATCAAATTCCAGGTAGTATCTGGTCCGTGAGCTCAACCTTGCGCTGTCTCCCAGTGAACTCTGCTTTGGCTCAGTAGAGTGTGCTGCTCTTGCAGGGTTCATCTGAATGTATTATTCTCTGCCTAACACACTGCAAATAGAAGAAATGAAGCTGTATGCCATCCCCATAAGGCTTTGTTGTTTATTAACCTCTTAATAAATGGACAAACCCTTTGTCAGCGACTTCTGTTTTTCTCACATTAAAACAGGACCTTGCCAGCGCCGTGGCTCACTAGGCTAATCCTCCACCTTGCGGCGCCGGCACACCAGGTTCTAGTACTGGTTGCCCCTCTTCCAGGCCAGCTCTCTGCTGTGGCCCGGGAGTGCAGTGGAGGATGGCCCAAGTGCTTGGGCCCTGCACCCCATGGGAGACCAGGATAAGTACCTGGTTACTGCCATCGGATCAGCACGGTGCGCCGACCGCAGTGTGGTGGCCATTGGAGGGTGAACCAACGGCAAAGGAAGACCTTTCTCTCTGTCTCTCTCTCTCACTGTCCACTCTGCCTGTCAAAAACCAACAACAACAAAAAAACAGGACCTTGACTTGTTTCCAGTGTAGAACAGGAGCTGAAGGCAGGGCACCTGCCAATGGCACAGCAAGGCTGCTTGGGAGAACGTGAAGAGGCCAGGGTAGAACCGGTGTTAGGCAGTGAACTCAAGCACCTAACTGAAGTCTTGACCAAGGCTCAGTGCTCTCTAGAATCCAGCACAGGCGAGCTACAAGACAGGGCCTAGGGAACTGATCACGGGGGTGAGGAAGTGTGTGTGAGGCGAGGCAAGTGGGGAAGTAAAGGAAACAGCCATCTGCCACCCAGTTGCGGAAACCACCCAACGAACGGCAGGACGCTTCACCGAAGGGTCGTATTTCCTGGGTCATGGTCTGCCAGGACAGGGTGGGCCAGAAAAGAACCCCCTCGCCATACGCCCTGTAAAGTTTCTGAAAGAAACCCACTGGAGGAAAAACGCCTCGGAGGGAGTCGTGCATAAAATAACATAAATCTTTTATTGAAAGTCACTTTATTGATGTTACAATGCGAGTAACATAGAAAACCGTGGGATCTTACTAGCTTCACAAGTGAATACTAATAAAATTGTGCCAAAAACTTGAACCTCAAATTACAGTGGCCTTGAACAACAGTGAGATTTTGCTTGCCTACAACGTGAGAACGGTTTGTAACTTGACAGCTGTAAAACAAGTCACGCTTGCTCGGGAAAGCAGTCACCATGTGCATTTAAGTTGATGCTTGCCAAAACCCAGGGAGTTGTAAAGTAGCAGAAAAACCAAGTGCACAGTAGCAGAAAGAACATCAAAACAATGCACATCGAAGTATATACACAGGATGGCCTGGTCACGGAAGGTGAAACCACAGTGGCTTCCCCCGGATGTAGATGACATCACCCCTCGCAGATGAGAGACGCGGAGACACGGGTGCAGACCTACATGGGCTAACGTGTAGGCTGCTGTGTGTGGGTGGCACACTAGGTTTCGGAAAGAAGGTGGCGTTGGGGGTGCTCTTCGGGAGGGGCAGGTCTTCCAGCAAGTTAAAAAAGGAGCACATGCTGAGTGGTCCTGAATAAACCCTTTGCTAAGCACTTTTGCAGTTAGTGTAAAAAAAAGTTTCCCATACAAAACAAAAGTGTTGGGTGGGTTTTTTTTTTTTTAACCCATTAAAAACACTGGTTGTAGACTCACAGTTTGATTTTGTGCTGGATTAGAAAAAAAAAGTGGGGTTTCTTACCAGGCAGTGATAACACATGTATAATTTAGCAGGAACTCAAGTATCATCACTAAGTGTACTACTCGAATCAGCTCTTTCCATGGTGTGGTTACCTGCTATAACTTAGCACCACTGTATTTAAAGATTTGGGGCTATTTGCATTATTTTGGAGTTTAACCATCAAAACACACATCAGAGCCTGAAACTTAAAAAATCAGGATGCTAAGCTCAAGTAAATGCCGCTTAGTTGTGTGTGTGTGTGTGTGTGTGTGTGTATTTCAAACAAGACAGGAAAGTATCCTTCAGAAATTCTTTGAAACTTTATTGATCATTTTGTATGTTTGCTATCTTAAGATGGCTTAGTCTCATTGTATGCCTTTTTGTAAAACAACAGAGCACACGTTTTGCCTGGTTCTGATTTCAAGAATAACTAGTAACATGAAATGATAATGTCCCGACCAAGACCCTGCAAGTCTTGAAACAACCCCCAGGAGGACAGGCCCGGCCCGTATGAACAGTGGGGTGGGCACGCACCCCAGGCAGGCGCGACCAGCCCCTGAGGGACTGGGCCATGACTATTTAGAGTCAACACTCTAACTGCAAGGTACCGGACCTGCCTTAGGCACGCAGCCCTGCTCCCCAGCATAGCCAAGTGGCCTCTTGGCTGTGGGCCTTGTGGGTGTCCCAGTCGTCTGCTCCCGAGCCCCGCTGAGCTGTCCCAGAGCTCACTGCTGCCTATCTTCTCCCCATCCCAGATCTCACACCCTGGGGACCCTCTCAGTGGCTTCCCAAGTTGCAAAATCCATGTCAACGCGCCACTGTGAGAGGAGAAACGTGCCTCCCACCTCCACTCTGCACTCCGAGGGGCTGGCCTCTGTGACAGGGCAAGTTCCTACTCAGCGGAAGCTGTTAAAGGGGCTGGCAGTGGGGCTACTCTGGAAGCAGGAAGGTTCTGGAAGCATCCGTCAAATCCCATCGTGGGATGCGAACAATTTGTCAGTCTATAACCATCAAAAATACTCCCTACTAAACTGAGCCAGAAGACTTTGGGGGCTCTGACAAGACAATGAACAAGACGTGAACAGAAGTCTCGCGTCCGCAGGTGTGGGAGGAAGGCCCTACCTGGAATGACACGCACCTGCCCTGCATGGCACAGGCTGTGAGCAGGCGCCAGCAGCTCCCAGCAGGTGCGCTTCTACGGCCCGCAGCTCCCACTCAGCCATGAGCAGGCTGCTCTCCGGCTGGGAACCCTGGACGCTGCTTACATTAGTCCTTGGCTTTCCCCCGCGAGGAAAAACGTTGCTGCACCCCAGCTCAGACTAGTCTTACTCTGAAAACACCTCCAAGGAGGAAAAACAAGCAATGGAGCCCGAAAGGAAGCCCCTTGCATAGAATGTTTGCCTTGCATATACCTTCAGCTAGTACCGAGAGGACGAGAAGTCCCTCCGACCTCACACACTTAGGTGATGATTTCAGAGGAAAACACAGAAGTGAAGGGACGAAGGCAGTCAGGAGCATGAAAAGCAGACCCGAGGTGAAGGGAGGCAGAGCACTTCGCAGGAAGCTCGTCCAGCTCTCTGCCCGCCTGCCCGCCTGCCTGCCAGTCCCCCCAGGGCGCTACCCAGGTGGGCGTCCAGCGCAGCCTCCTTCCTGTCACTTCTGAACTTTGTTTTCCCCTTCCCACCACTCTGCAAGCCACTCAATGCCTTCCAATAAATTCCCTTTCCTTTAGGTCAAGTACAATGGCCATTACTTTAGATAGAGATTTATTAGCATGATAAAACTGGGGAGGTGGTGTGTAGACAGAAGTACATGGCAACAAGAAATGGATGGATGAAATGCATAAGTGAACAGAAGTGAAGAGAACGGGCCTGGTGCCTCTAACCCACAGGTGTCTGTAAAAATCAAAGGACAAAATCCAGACAAAAGGTAACAGGTAAAGTAGCCTCAAGACATGGAAAGGTTACATCAAGCGAACACGCATGGGATTGAACAGAAAACAATGAGCAGCACGATGCTGATACAGATACCAGACATAAACACTCCTTCCTGAAGCACAGGGAGCTTCTATCTTCCACCACTTCTTTTAGAAACCCCGTCAATCTCACGGTCAGACGTCCTATGCAGGGCCGGCCTCATTTAACAATGGGATTTTAAAAGCTTTTTTAAAGCAAGCGAGAAAAGTGCAGACCTTGATAAAGCACCAAGATCAAACTAAAACCAAGTTTGGCATTTGAAGTCCACGTTATTAGAACAACCCTAAGGACAGGTTATTCCTCAGTGAGCGTCCGAGTTTGCCTGAAACACAGCAGCTACTAGCTGAAGCCCTCCCGTGCTGCCTGGGTGGGAGCTACGGCCTCTTTCTGTTCAGGCTGCAGGGGGGATGCCTCTTCCCACTTGGAGGAAGAGGGGCTGGGCCCAGGGGACAGTTAATCCGGCCAGTCCAGTCCCTAGGCCTGCCCTGGTGTCCACCCTCCTCTGCTAACCCAGAGACCTCAGTGTTTCCTGCGGCACATCTCAGGCAGCAGGGCTGTCAATCGGAAGGCTTACGTTCACAGTAAACCTTAGGAAGAGAGGGGAAAAGGCATACAATGAAACGTGGAAGCCAGCGTGCTGCTCGCCTCTGCCTAGGGATGACCCGACGGTGACTTGTGGCATGTAGACATCACTACTGAACGTTTCTTTCCAAAATGGATGTTTAAAAGGAAATTAAGCTGTGCTTGTAGTTAGTGCTATGGGTTCATTCTACCTACTTCAGTAGATAGAAGGTCATAAATATTTAGATGCAATGCTCTAGAAAAAAATCAACCATGAGTACACATGTAGCTACTTCCTGAAACTATCCACTGAAACTATACATTTGTCAAAGAATTCCACAAATGGCCCTAAGAAAGTTTAAGGGAGAGAAGATCGATATCCAGAATAGAACACTGAAGCTACTGTATTCCCCCAAATCATAATATCTGTAAATAAAAAAACCCACTTTTTACCCCATTCCATGTGAAGGTTATTATCAATGAGGATTATTACAAACTCTATACCTCCGGAGCAAACACATCTCCCAAAAGGCACATGATAATGATTTACATTTGAAAAATAATTTTATATTTAAGTCGTTGGGGTGAGGAAGGATAGATAATTAATAGATGGTTGATAGGTGATAGATAGATGGATATATAGAGAGAGATCTCTTGCTACTTAACTAGCCATTTGTGCATTCTTCCAAAGTGGGGTTTGTCTAACTGTAACTAGGAAGCATGTAAATACATGAGGCACCTTGCATTCATCTATAAACTCTTTTTATAGTCAAAATAAATCTTGTCACATGGCCTTTTACATACACAATACCTGAAGACATTCAGTGCACATTAAAGTGATCCTGGTCACTCGACTGGCTACATCTTTCTACCTGTCTGCCCTTCTGTCCTTGGCTTGAGCTGTGCGACAGTGTCGTCCAACACTCACCCAAAACTCAGTCTGATGGGCTGATTCGCTGTAGTACCCACAATCACATCCTTATCCGCCATGAAATGATGCTGCTTCACACTGTGCGATTCTGCGTGGCTAAAGGGCGCTCCAAACATTGCCAGACTCCGAGAAGAGCGGTCCATTACAGAAGACATAAATGCGCAGAGTAGAACACACTGCCCGCCCCGTCCCAGGACTCCCCACTGAGTGGCCATGGATTTTTGCCCCTGGACACTCCAGGGAGAGGGACTTTCTGACATCCCGTCTGTGGACCCCATTCCTCTCGAGAAAAAGCTGCGCAGGAGAGACGTGACACGCACCCTCACGGCAGCCCATGTGGCTGGGCCCACCCACCGATGTCCAGCCTCAGCAGGGTCGCTTTCTTAGGAATAACGGTGACATTACAATAGCTATGGGACCCTCTTTTATAAATACAGTTTTAAATGTGCAAATCCCAAAAAAGCAGCAGAGCTTTCCCCTGCCAGGCGTCTGTGCAACATCTTGGGGCCTTTAGGTTTCACTGGACCCTTGTCTTCTTCGCGGTGCCTGGAAGTCAGTGCCGAACGACCTGTCAGGGCTCACATCCCAGTGGTGATAAAGATCCCAAAGAAGCAGTGGTGTAGCACTAGTTATTGTGAAAGCAGGTTGTTCGCTTCACACGTAAGGATGGCTAACAGAACCCTCAGGCCACGAAGGGCTGGCGCGCAGGCCAGGTGGCAGCCCGCTGGTCTCACGTGTCTTTGGTACGCTTGCGTCCTCTCCGCAGGACGCACAGCTGAGGGGCCCGGGGCCTCCACGGCGAGCACAATCGAGGTGCCGTGGTGCTGAGTCACAGCCGCGGAGGCAGGCAGAGCGCGCCCGCAGAATACAGTGGACAGGCTGGCGAGGCCCAGCGGCCGATGGCGGCACCAGGACGCTCCCGCTGCGGCAGGACGCGGAGGCCAGAAGCGGGCTGGGGCGTCTGGTTCTCCCGTTCCGTGAATCCGCCTCCAGACCACGCACAGTTTAGGGGGACGTCGCACGTTCTGCACAAGTACCGATTATGGAGAGACACGCTGACCACGCTCGCTGCTGCGTTTACATCATCGACAGCATCTTTAAAGACCGGGGACGGATGACAGGATGTGACCGTGACTGATTTTAGGCATTTGGCAAGATACACTTGCGTGTAACAGCTGCTTTTTCATTTTTTTTTTTTTACATTTTTAAAAATGTTTACATATGTACAGTTGTCCTTGTGTGCTGATATAAATACGAGAAGTAAAAAAAAAAAGATAAAAATACATGTTTAGAGTTAGCATAGGGGATGCTGGCCTCTGAAAGCACTCGAGTCCTGCAGAAAAGCCTGCTGCTGAGCCCTGCATGCTAGTTTTGACGATGGGAGGCTGTCTCCTGAAATGTGGAAAGCAATAAACAGAAGCTCCATGCATTCAGCGCTGCTGTGTACAATGAATGTCAGGTTCTGAATCCACTTCTGTCCCTTAGGAAACTTGCTACATTTGGGTCAGGTGAGTTAGTTTTATTGGTATTTCTACATAGATCTGTCATGCGGATTATGCAGTCACATACCGGCACCTTGGCTGCCCCATGTCATACTGGGGCATCTAAGTAGTTCTGGGCGTGGTTCAGTTCAATGCTATGGCAATGACAAAAAGAAACTGGTATCCAGATGTGAGATTTGGCTTCCTCTCCTGGTGGCTTCCCAGAGTGTCTCCGTATTGTCTGAAGAGCAGTCGATGTGCAGTGATTCTGTGAGACTGAGTTTCTATAAAAGTTGGAGTAAACAGTTTCGATGTGTCACATGTAAACAGTTGATCTTAAATGGACGTCTCCCATAGCTGCACAACAGAGAAAAGCGAAATGACACATCGTAAGGGCAGGAAGCAGAAGTTCTCAGATCGACAGAGATGAACAGGCTTGGTGCTTCCACCTACACAGGTGTGACTGGGTGAACACCCGTGCAGACTAACACATGGAAAACCCACACTCTGGCTGCCAGCGCTCCCTACCCTCCACACCTAGGTCTCAACCTTTGTAATGCCGATCGCTCTTTCTGTATGTATGTATGTATTTGAAAGGCAGAGTTAGAGAGGAGGAGAGGGAAGAGAGATGTTCTGCTGGTTCACTGCCTACATGGCTTCAACAGTCAGCACGGGAGGACCCAGGCTGAAGCCAGCAGTCAGGAGCCATCACCTACCACTTGGGAAACAAGAACTGGGGCTGGCGCTGTGGCACAGTAGGTAAAGCCGTTACTTGCAGTGCCGGCATCCCATGCGGGCACCAGTTTAAGTCCTGGCTGCTATACTTCCAATCCAGCTCCCTGCTAATGACCTGGGAAAGCAGTGGAAGATGGTCTAAGTGTCTGGGCCCCTGCCACCCTGGTGGGAGACCTGGAAGAAGCTCCTGGCTTTTGGCTTCAGTCTGGCCCAGCTATGGCCGCTGCAGCCATCTGGGGAGTGAATCAATCTCAATCTCTCTCTCTCTCTCTCTCTCTCTCTCTCTCTCTCTCTCTCTCTCTGTTTCTGCATTGCTTTCTGCAACTCTGCCTTTCAAATAAATAAGTAAATTTTTTAAAAAAATGAAATCCTGTCACTTGTAGCAAAATGGGCAGAACCAGAGGACATCACGTTCAGTGAAATAAGTCAGACTCAGAAAGACAAACTTCACATGTTCTCCCTCAAATGTGGAAGCTAAAACAAAATGCAGTCTGAACCTAAGAGGTTGCGAGGGGTGGAGTGATGGAGGGAGTTGGAGAGAAGGAACACGTTCCCAGTGTTACACGGCACAGTCGGGTGACCACAGGTCTCACAGACCTAGGATATACGTTATGAACAAACAGCATGCCGGAGCCCCGGTCTCCAGTCACAAAGTAAGGTCAAGACGGGGAAGTGCCGACCACCTGGACTTGAGCAACACATAGTGTACAAGCACTGGAGCACCAACTGGAGCCCACAGACACGTAAAATTATCATTAATAAAAACTTCTGAAAAATCCCCCTGCCCAGGCCTCGCACCAGATAAACTACAGCAGAATCTCTCCCCTGGGGCCCGGGCTCAGAATATCTAAAAGCTCTTCAGAGGATTCCCATGTGCAACCAAGGCTGAGGGCCGCTGACCACTGGGCGGTGTGACTGCGTCAGTACCACCACCGTTGGCTCAAACATCACCGCCCGGCGTCGGGGAGCAGGACACGTTCTCCCACCCCAGCACTAGCTCCCAGGAAACAGCTCTCCCCTGTGGCTGACGGATCAGAGCAGGAGGAGCTTCTGGGCAGGACATCCACGCCCTCTCCTGGCTTCTGCAGCCACAGCTTCTACACTGGGCTGAATCCTACAATGTGCAGCAGTTGCCTTCACGGACAGAAAGCAGTTTTGGCATGATCAGAGGTGAGTGCGACTCATTTCGCTACAGAAGGAAGCCCAGTTAGAATGTAAAATAAAGTTTTAAAACGTCAAGCTGTTGAAATGTCTCCAGGCACCACGACTTGGGTTCATCGTTATACACGTGAACGAAGCCTACGGTGAGAGTGACTCAACTGAAGGAGTCAATTTCCATCCAAGTCCACTTTCACTGTTCATACAGGGCACACCTGGCATACGTAATGAGCTTCTGGGAGATAAAAAAAAAACAAACAAGAGACTAAATAAACAGATGTCTCAGTGTGGGTCCCCTGAACGTGTTCTCTCGGGTCTTTGCGGGGCCCTTGTACGCCATGTTGGCTCAACCCACACTGGGCTTCTCCCTACGTCTGTTCTGTGGCATTTTCATTAAAAAGACACCCGTCCTCTGCCCCTCTGGAAACCTTTGAGGGCCCCTTCCACGTGAGGACATCCATGAGCAGCTGACACCAGATGGCGGAGTGGAGTTCAACAGGGGCCTGCAGGGGGCTTGGGCAGCGATCTGGACTGATGCTCAGATAATGGTCTGAAGTGGCAGAGCTGAGACTTTGGCCTCAGATGGCAGAAGCATCATCACAGATGGTTATGAGGATTGAGTGTCAGCTTTCGGAAAGGAGAAGAACAAATGAATGACATTAGGAAAACCTGAAAGTCGTGACCGTCCGGGTGAGGAGAAGGGAGCGAGGACTTGTCAAGCCATTGCTTTGATGAGGAGGCACGACTGTGCCCAAGTCTGGGTGCCGCCTGGGATGGCTACATCCCACACTGAAGTCTCAGTTAGTTCAAGTCCCAGATCTGCTTCTGATTCCAGCTTCCTGCTAATGCACACGCAGGAAGGCAGCAGCTGATGGCTCAGGGACCTGGGTCCCTGCCACCTGCTACCAATGTGGGAGACCCAGCCTGGGTTCTGTGCTCCTGGCTTCTGCCTGGCCTAGCCTGAGCTATCGCAGGCACTGGGGAGTGCTTCCGCAGACGGAAGACCTCTCTCTCACTTTCATGCCCTCCCTTTCTCTGCCTTTCAAGTAAGTGAAAATAAATATTTTAAAATGAAAGAGCAAAACCCACAAAGGCTCTGACTATCTTGTGTGAGTGCCCACAGCCCGCAAGAACAGCGTAGGGACGGGAGCCGTCCTTTCTGCAGGATTCTGCCACTTGCTCACGTGACTGCTGCACAGCAGACAGGACGAATCAGGCCTTTCACAGAACCAGGCAGCAGCTGGACTTGCCCGTCACCTCACTCAGCCCCAGGAAGGAGTCATGGGGCAGCCATTTCTTCCGGGGAGCTGTCGTTTTCATGGGCTCTAACATTTCCAATAACCCACACCTTGGCATGACAGCAGCTCAAAGAACACACCCAACTGATGAAGCAAAACAGCAGTGTGGACAGCTTAGCAGGGAGAACACACACACGTGCACACATGCACACATGCACGCACACACACACACGCACATGGGGGCTGTACTCAATTTCTTGATTTCACTGTCACAACGCCCATGATGAACAACTCGGTGTTCACCAACAAGTCTTCTTAAGGCTAGACAGCTGAGCGCTGGGAATCGGGCTTCCTCCTTTTAACTCACTTCCCATATTAACACAAAGCTAATTTTTAAATTATAAACAAAGCATCACTGCTTTTAAAGACTTTTTGACTATAATGATCTAAACAGTTTTCCATTATTTGTTTTCTTACAGACTCTGGGTTGTTGGGGTTGAAATCTACATGATCCACGTTTACCCTGTACCCCACAATTCGGGTTTAGGATCAAGGAGATTCTGTAGCATCCTTCAAAAACCAAGAAGTCTGGGAACCCAGGACTCACTATCAGATGAATCTGCTGGGGCTTTTAAAGCTTTATTTACTTGTTTGTTTGTTTGTTTGCACCACTGTTTCTGAGAAGAGCCACATTACAATGCAATGACCATAGAGAGCATGCACAGCCCTAAAGGCAACGCTTCTTTGGTTGTATTTTGCACTTAAGCTTCTGAGGGCTGCTCTGCCTCTCTCAGCTCTACTCTGTCTCAAATTTCACATAATGGACGTTTTCCAGGAATGCTCAAAGACAGAGTGGTATCCTGATTAAAAATGTAAAAAGACACTCAGTATTTAAATGGAGTTTCTGGGGAATCATATTTTGGTAAAAGTAGTCAACACCTCTGTATTTGTTTACAAACTTGGCTTTCTAGAGTAAGAAAGGTGGTTAAATTTGCCCCACCCACTGTCATATTCTTTCAACACTACAGATTTTTTGAGTCCTTTTTCCGTGAATCTAGATCCCACCCCGATCTTCAAGTTATTGATCTGACTTCCTCTTATGGGTTCCTGTTCCTAAAATCCTACTGCATGTTATTAGCCAGGGAAAGGCCTGGAGCAGAGAAGGGGCTTTCTCACTCAACCTCTGACATTCCCAGGTATATCAAAAACTGATAAAGCAGAGGCGTATTATTTTATCAATTCCACGCTTTAAAATATCAGCTACAACAAACAGAAAATACACAGCAATGGAAAACATACACCAAATATCTCTAGAATATATCAATGCAGATTAAGCTAATTAGCAAATATAAATCTGAACCCCGAAGCTCCAAGAATCTTCTGGTTTCCAAATTAAATTTTATCATTTTATCTTTTCTCAGACATGAACTCAGGACAGTGGATGAGCACAGGGAGCGCCTGCACCTACCCTGGCACTTTGTCGGTTCACTTTCTTCTCCTCGTCTGGAAGCGGAGGCATTGGATAAGGGTATTTTCTGCTGGAGGCAATGGACCCAGTTGATGACGAAGGAGACTTGGCGGGAGATAAAGTCCTGAGGCGTTTAGAACATAGGAAATAAATATCACACGACTGCCTAATACCATTGCAACGTATCTGAAAAGTGGGTTCAAACCACTGACTTCTACTTTTATAAGGCCCTACTGCAAAGGCTTAACTACTGGGAAGCGTCTCTGTCATTCCCAATACTGGAAAGCTGGAAATTTAGCTTCCTAACTTCAGGATTCTCCACACTACAGTGAGAATTTTAGCTTCCTAATTTCATGACTACTATGGGTTGTTCAAATGTTACTGCAGGGAATCATACTTTTCATCTAGAAAGCTAATAATGAAGTTTTCTAGAGGACAGACAAAAGGCTAACATGGAGAAGGGAAAAGTTATTCTAAGAGCTCATAATAGTAAATTAAGTGTACAATATACTAATATTCCTCCTTATGATTACCACTTAACAAAATATGTTTCTACGTTCAATAATTCCAACTGTATCTTAAGAGTTTAAACATATCACAATGGATACATTTATTAGTTGCTAAGTCACACACCAGTTTACACAAAACTCATGCATTTAGAGGCCAGTGTGTTAGTTGTGAAGGAACGAAGGCAAAAACTAGGGTTTTAATCATAAATTAGTAAACATGCAAGCAGTAAGGAGTGCAGAGTTCCAGCCAAACAAAGTCTGATGAGAACACACAGAAATGGTCTGATTAGTCGCTGTGACCAGCATTCCTGGCTGGCCGCTGGCGCACTGTGCTGTATCTGTTGGGTCTGGCACGTGTAGTGATAATGTTTGTGACTAAAGCGGGCTCACCAGAAAAGCCCATTCCTGCTGCTAACTTGTCTGCAGGAGTGAAAAATGTCCACTCATCACATATGAAGGGAAAGTCCATGTGTCACTGCATAGCTGTGCCATCCACAAATCACCACTACACAACCGTGACTCCTTCACTCCTGTCCCAGGGTGGTGCTGACCCATGTAACTGGCCACACTACCACACAGTAGCCTCAGGACTTGTTCCTGCAGGGTGCACCACACCTGCTGTGAATGCTTAAACCTGGGCACCTTGGTGGTGGGGACAGCACTGGGCAGGACAAGATATTCGGCTTCAAAGAATTCAACAGAGTAAAGATATAATTTTCCTCTTTTTAAAATAATACTATGATCTTTAGGAAACAAATTCAGTGTCTAAAAAATGAAGGCAACCTTTGGCATTTAGATATTTAAATGGATCGTTTTTAAAATGAGGGATACTAACCTGGGTTCAGCTTTTAAATTTATTTATGACTGATAAGATATTCAAGTTCATGAAAGCTAGCCAGGCACATAAATAACTCAATCTTGTTTCCTTGGCAGGATCATACCAAGGAAACACAGCAGCATCTGTGTCCACAGAATGAACTATTGGCTTCTAGTTGAAAGGTCACCATGGCCTGAACGTGCCCATGGAGAAGGACAAGGACAAGTGCAAGTACAAAGCCACTTCAAGGAGGGGTGCTGGGAGTCCAGTCTGCCCCTCACATACTTCTCACGGGCAGAGCCAGCAAACTGTGACAACTCTTGTCACATGCTGTCACAGAGGCCCAGAGAAATCACACACGTTCCACTTTGCACACTGAGAGCCAGCTGACACTTCGGACCCTGATGGGGGGAAGGGAAGCCGGTTTTAGTGGGGGGACGGGCAGCAGGTCCTGGAGGCCAGCTGGGGTGGAACAGCACAAAGGTGGTTATCTTGGCAGATGGGCATCGCCAGAGCAGATGTCAGAAGAGTAGAGAACAGGGCGGGGATATTAGGGAAAACAAACTCAAAATTTCTCACAAACAGCCGAAGGAGATACTTTCTCAAAACCTCCTCTGGGCTCTCTCCTGACTCGGGCTACCTGCTTGGAAGTTCCAATTCATTATCCTTGCTACGTTCTTAAAAGCCACAATGGCTACGGTGGGTGCCACACTACAACGGCACCATAACGCTACGTGCATATGCCGCTGGCGGGGGTGCATCCTGGGCCTATGTCAGACTTCTCTGCATATATGCACATTTTGCATGTAGGTCAGGAAGGCCCATCTCGGTCCACCTGTGCTCCCTCTTCCCCGGGACAGGCTAAAGCAGGTCAGTCATGGGAGAGGGACAGAAGTCGTTTCACAGCAGCCTGATGTGGAAGGATCTATTAGGTGTCCTGGCACAGGATGTAAGTATGCAGTGATCACCAGGTACAGTGAAATGGGAGTCGGATGGCGCCAGGCATGTATTCCGACACTTTCCAGCTGGGCGACCCTGAATTATTTTTGTGCCTCTGTCCCCTCCATTATGGAAAGGAAATGAGAATGCCTACACCTTACGGTGTAATATCCTGTAGGCACTCGGTGAGTGGTATCATGATCACTACATTTTCTGTAAGGTCATGGCAGTGCACTGAAAGCCTGCCGAGGAGGTGAGCACTCACCTGGCTAATCCCCCAGAGTACGGAGCTTGCAAGGCACCGTCCCCAGAGACCTGCACAGGCCCTGACTGGGGGATGAGGCTCCTGCTCCGAGCCCCTTGCTGCCTCCTGAGGACCAGAGTACAAGCTCACGACTGTCACTTCAGAGCTGGGAAGGGGCACAGAGACACTCCGTGTCTTTAGGCATCTTCCTTGCTCTTGGCAGTCCCATGGGTTTCATGTTTTAAACTGGACCCGTGTGCTGCCATCACAAGCTCTCCATTACATTTCCACAAGAAGGTCACTAACGCACGCCCCGTGGGTGATTAGTAAGGTGACTTCTGCCCTCGCTGGTGGTTTTGGCAGAAGTAATCCTGAATGCCCTGGCAGCCGATGAAGCAGATCTGAGCACGAGCATGGGGCTGGCAAAGCATGAGCAAAGGTGTGGACTCGCTCTGCGCTCCCTGCGTGAGGTCCAGCTGGGACAGAGAGCACACAAGATTCACTCAGAATCGCTGCGTCCACAGCTCCGGGCCATTCCAGCTAGTCACCACCGCCACAGAAATTCTGTGTCGGTTTTCCGGTCTTCCCAGCATACCTCTTGCTAATCTACAAAATGACAGTTAAATTATAACTGCCCATTGAACTTGGTCTAGCCTTTAAACAAGAATATGCGTTTTCACAATTAATTCTAAGTGGGACTAGCTACAGGAGGAACCAGCATCGACTGAAAGAGGAGCTAGAGGGATCCTCTATTATCGCCCTTGCAGCTCTGCGCGTGCAACCGGGGGCGCCAAAGCAGTTCCCCATCCACATGTGTGTGGTCAGGCAGCTTCTGGGCAGACCTGCCGGCTGGTCTGAAGAAAGGTGAACTCTTCTCTGGGAGCCACATCAGCCACTCAGCTCACCCAGGGGAGGTGACGCAACTCTTCCGGGGTACCATTCACAAATTATGGCCGCAAAAGTGCTGAGTTTGCTTAGGAGAAAGAGACCTAACCCAAGGAGGATCAAAGTCATTTTGTTTTGGTGCCGTGGCCATTACAAACTACAATCTGCCCACAAGCCTGAGGAGGATAGGAAGGAGAAATAGGACTGCAGGTGAGCCAAGATTCCAAACAACATTCAGAAAATCATCTTACCTGTCTTCCTGACGTTGGCCATCTTGGGAGCTACAGGTGAGGGTGCGATGTTTGAATGTGAGTGTATGTGCATGAGGTTCAGTGTGGGGAAGTGTGGGACAAGCAGAGGGGCAGGGCAGGAGGGGTGATCGGGAAGAAAAGCAGCATACATTTTTGTGAGCAGGCAGGAGTTACGCTTTCCTTGGGGTATGTGTCAATGTTATGGATCAAATTAAATGCAGGTAGGTCTAATCATTTTCTCAAACTATACACGACTAAACTAAATGGTACACTGGAAGAGAAAGTCCACCTTGTATGGGTGTGAGGGTTAAATGTGTGTGTGTGTGTGTGTGTGTGCACCTACTGAGTCCATATTTCTCCTTTACATTAGTTGTCCACCAAGGAGTCAGGTAGAAAGTGGGCAGTGACTTCTAGGAAATCACAATCACTTTGATATTATAAAGAATGAAAAATGAGGCGTGCTTTGACATTCTCTCTCACATTTCCTGTTTCACAGCACTGCAGCGAATTAAGTAAATCAGAGTGTTTCTAAACTCTTTTCTTTTGTGAGTCAAAAATATGCTGTCTACCAGCTTCCTGTTCTGTCTGAAGCATCAGACAACAACATTTTAATTCAATTTTCCTGGATGCTTTGTGAAGCGTCTGCAAACACTCCTCCCAGCACAGCCCCTCTCGGGTGGCCAGCAGCTGTACTCAATCTAAACGGATTCCACATCTGCTCAGGTGTCAGCAGTATCTCAGTAATCTTCCAGCTGGATCAAATCGGTTTCTACTCCAAGTGAACTTCCACTACACTCCATCTCATTGCTTGTCATATTTGCCTTGAGTTTTCATATGCACTGTGCACTCTTAGGCAATAAGTAGGCAAAATGCATAATGATTTTGAAAGTTACACTGCTCAGGTTAATTGTGTTTCTTTATTAGTGGAAAGTATGTGTCATGCCTGTAGAACACTATATAGCATAAAATGAAGAGGAAGCTACTACGAAGCTGAAGATGGTGACAGGGACATGCACTAGATGGCAACCCTTTCAAATGGCTTCATTGGAAACATTCAGAAAAGCACTAGACTTGCTCATGAAGCCAAAAACAGAGATCAAAAGGCAGCAAATAAATAAGGACCCTTTTCCACCTGTAGGAACTTGTATTGAGAGATACAAGCTAGAGAGCCAGTCACACTACAGTATTTGTATGTGCTGGGAGAGTTTGAAAAAGACATAAAATTAATTTGTGAAATACCTAAAGTATGGTCCTTCAGTGTTTTTATTCACATCTTCTACCCACTTAGCTACATTATAGTCTCTTTTGAACCATGGGTTTAAATACCTGCAGAAAGCAATGGAAGGAACAAAGAAAGCAGAACAAGAGAGAAAAATCTGAAAATACACAGCACAAGCTTAGCAAGGATGTCTACACCCTCCAAATGCAAGTGACTATGGCAAATAAACCAGGATGGATGTTGGATGACTGTGAGGCAGTCTATACGATGACACGAGAATAATCTCACCTACAACAAGGCTCAAGGCATTCTAGAATGCGGTCAACATATCTGGGAATGCCTCTTCTGGGGGCTTCCCAAAGGGAACCGGGAGATCACTTTCAGTGATGGTACAGTCAACAGTTCTATGTACCCACCTCCAGAGGGGCTCTTTCCAGGCCACCTCTCATTTGGTTCCTGGGTTTTCAAATGATAATTGGTGCTTTTTGAAAACGTGCAGGTGGCTGTGACTCCAACCTGGCATTTGGGCACAGAACAGCCCAGGAACAATTAAAAGAAGCAAGGTTCTCCTGCCAATACATGAAGGCTTTCACAGGGCAACTTTCTCACTCCCCTATGGTGGATCCCAAGTGGAGTTAATAGAAGGTCTGTTGCAGCTGGTCCTGTGAGGGGCAGAAAGGGTCCCCTCTTCTGACCCTGGAGCCCCAGTGCGCAGGCAGTGTGGTCCAAAGGGGCTCCTATGACCTTGAAGCTGTGTTTAGTAATTTAGTTGTGGCTGCCACACTCCTTCCTCCTGCTCCTACTCCACACTAACAGGTTTGTGTTTCCACTGTGAAAGGGCCCTCGGAAGCCACCTTTAAGTGTCTGACCATGGATTGTGTGAGTGACTGCCACAGGACAGCAGGGGCCTCAATCAGCCCTTCCTGATGGGCCTGGCACCCCTGGAGTGATTATTGTGCAAACTTTAAAGGGAACCAAGTGAGGTGCACAATGTTGCTGCAGTTTTCCCTCAGAGTCTCCTCTGATTTCTAACATGGGAGCCAAGCAAAATCACATCCTCTTGGAATTTGCCCTTTTAAATAATACAGATTTAATATCTGTAAATTCAGTATTGCAAGGATTTGGAGGTTTTTTTAATTTTTCCATTTCAAAAAGTAACTTCTAGAGACAGAGACAATCAGGCCCTATTTAACCATTTAGAAATAAGCAAGGAGAAACTATAATATACACTGGTTTTGGTTAAAGTTTGCGTCTTTCCCCATATTTAGTTTTTGAGCTGTTTGTAAGTATATTGCAGTCAAGGCTACATTATCCACAGCTGTATATTTAAAATCAGGTTGTCTTCCACAGCCCTTTCCCTCCTGTTTAACCATAAAGTTATTGTGCAAAACATCATCGTGCATGCAACCCCTCTGGAAATAACGGCTCAGATGGGTTCTTTGCGTGGAAGACCATTTTTGCCAAGACAATGTCTCCTGGCTTACAAACAGCTCTTCTAGTTTTGCCTTTAGCCACAATCATTGCCAACTTGCACTTTTCACAGAGATAGCCAATTACAACTTGCATAAAGATTTCCACTGAGACTCTGAACAAAAAAAAAAAAAAAAAAGTCGAAAAGCAAATGCAGCCACAGATGAAGGCTAGTGAAGGCTCTGGCCTGGGGAGAACCGTGGGAAGCCCATGCAGCTGTCATCAGGTGAGACACAGCCACGCCGCAAACAGAGGCAGACGGCCACTCCAGGAGGAGACTGCTGCTCCTTTCCCTGGTCATCTCCGAAACTCAAGGACTGGTGCCATGGCTGCTCCGTGCAGGCTACGACCGCATGGCTTGACCTGCATCGCAGAGCCTCTTCCGCCATCTCAGGGAGCACGGCTGAATGCTGTGACTCGGAGAACTCTCCACGGCTGCTCCTGCTGGGCAGATGCCCAGCAGAGTGTCTTCACGGTGGGCTCCTGACATCTCTAGGGTGGGGTGGCTGGGGTCATGGCATTTTATCAAACTGCAGTCAACCTGCCTAAGTGGCTTGACTTGGCTTGTAGCGCAACATGCAAATAAAAAAAAAATGCATTACATGGCGTAGGAGAGCTCTCAGTGTTCTCCAGGATGGAGAGGCAGAGGAGAATTAGCCAGTGCCGGCTGGACCAGGAGCACCTCCGAGCAGACACGGGAGCTCAGTCAAAGATCAAATGACCCTGTTCTCAGACAAGGGAGGGACTTGGAAGGAGATTAAGCGGCAGCCCAGAATGAAGGGGCAGGTGGAGACTGACCTGTGATCCAGACTCCCTGTCTGGGGGCTGTCAGAGCCCCCTGGGCTTATGCCTTGGGATGGGACTGTCTGGGCGAGGGAGTGCCCAGGCTCAGGTGCTTGGGGCTCCCTCCTGTAAAAACACAATATATAACACAAAGTCTAAGCCAAGAAAGTTTTTTACATCATGTACAACAGTGAGGAAGATGCAAAGCTTTGAGTGGAGAACAGTACAATCGACAAGGACGTTTTATTCTGTTAATCAGCAGAGCGTGCATTCGTGCTGCATGTTTTCACTCGTGTCCCAGTTTTTGTCCCATCCTTTGGGATGATGAGATTCTAAAGGGAATGCCGAAATTTCAGACCTGAAAGACTTCTTATCTATAAACTAACAGAATCAGGGTAGGTTTGTGGTCAGTCTGCTGCTCTCAAAGTCGCACAAAATGGTATAAGCATATCAGAAGCAAATGGGATCACTTAAATGGGGAACGTAGAAAAAAAAAAAGGGCCAACATAATTCTTGATATGCTGTGCATCGGGGCGCTTGCAAGAGAACAAGCGTACATGGGAAAGTGTATGTGCTGAGAGAGGAGAGGCCGTTCCCGTACGAGCAGGTGCGTGAGGATGGTGACCAGCTTCACTGCACTAACACGAGTCAGGCAACCCATAAATCAAAGGGAACCTCTCACGGTCTCCCTAAAAGGACCCTGGTATGACGTCTTGTTAAACACTACAACTTAGTGATCTCGCAGACTGGATTTATCAATGGCTATCTGTTGCATTGTAATTTTCATCTCCTGGTGTGAGTACAAATTTCACACAGAATTTTTAAAAATACCTAAGTGAATACCCTAGAAAATACTGTATAAATATTGTTAATATATAAACCAAATATTCTTAGGAATATATGCCTAAACTCATAGATTTAACATATAATTGAATTTTTTGACTTAGTAGTTTTCAAAGCCTTGTTATAGGAAATATTGTTAGAACACTAAACTGTACACAAGGGAAGATCTGAAGAATGTCTTACAGTTTTATCCCTACTTTTAGGAGACAGGCTAAGGAGACTGGACCAGGTGACTTCATGCAAAACAAACTAGGTCACATTCCAAGAAGAGTTCATCAACAATGAGCCTTAAAGCATCTCGAGATAAACTCTCCAGATTAGTTCCTTGGGATGGAGTTCTAGGATGCCATTCTAGACCATGCAGTGCTATCATCTGAATCTATACGTTCTATGGGGAGGTATCCTCGGGAAACTTGGAAGAGACATTTACAACACAATACCATTCAGGTGGACAGTCCAAATTTCAGGGCAACGTTATTATTCCTGGACTGAAAAGGGCAGGATATATGATGGAAAAGCTAACGTAAGCTTCTGACAAGTTAACCAACAACGCCTGCTATTCAGACTGCTTAAGTATTAAGGCATGAAGAAGCCACAGAGATCCTGGGAATAATAACTACCACTACAGGCAGGAACAGGTGATTACATTTAAGTAGGATTAAAAAAATAGTGGGTGATTAAAACCAGACGGCAGGGTCAGTCCAGAAGGGTTCCCAGGGTGTGTTTCATTCCGTGCAGGGAAGAATAGGTTCGAGGAAGCTTTGTTTCGCTTGTGCTTGCATTGTGGAGAAACAAACAAAGTGTGTAGTGTTTACTTCATTATAACAAGACTTTAAGTATAACTTCCGGTCCCACTCCCTCTAAACACAAAATCATTGTGGCTATCATTTAAGAAAAGACAACGTTGCCTGTAGTGACAATGATTCCGTTAAAGTGCAAGTTTAGGTGGATGCCCTTTTAAATGTCCTTGGAAGGGAGATTTAAAAGGGAGCCTGATTCCACTAGTCTGAGAGAATGCTTAGATGGCAGCCATGAAGACCTGGGGTGGCGGTTTCAGATCGTGAGCAGTCAGTCCCATGCTCTGGTGCGTGGGAAGCTCTCCCTGACGCTTCCAGGCTGTGTGGGTACCGGGGAGCGGGAGGGTGACCCTTTGAGATGGCTGGACCCCCAGGTGATGAGAAGAAAGGAATGTTATCAAAATTCCCTTCAAACGGAACCAAGACACCACAATGGCAGGTGACTGGAGCAAAACCCCACAGCGAGGGTGAGACCCCGCTGTCAGTGAATATTGGTATGGGCACAGTTGCGGAGATGCCTATGTAAAAGAGAAAAGCCATGGTTAATTCTTAAAGGGCAAAAAAGAAATCGAAAAGACAAAACCAAGACCAAAGGCATGGTTTACAGTTCTTTGTCTGGTTAATTAACATCTGACACTAAGTGCACAGAACCTTGGAGGGCCCTTTTCCAGAGAGGCTGGGACTTACTCAGTTGAGTTAGATCGAGGTCTAAATCTTTTGCCTCTGATTTTCTTTCTGTTGCCTCCCAGGTTACCTGAAAAAGATGGTTCATAACTAGATTTCCACATGAATAAATAATTTTCCTGGGTCCAATTATATGGTGTTTTAAGTGGATATAATGCACAACCAGCCCAAAATGGCACTTTACCCAATCCTATCATTTCCCACCCAAGAAAAAAAAAAAAAAAACTGAAATCTCATCTAAATATTCTCTTCGTAGAAGAGTTTCTTCTCTTTGGAGAAGAGTTTATAGGAGAGACCAGGTCTTCATTACTAGTGACTACGGAATGCAGAATTTGAATGTGTGGACAAAGGGTTTCAGAATGCTGCCTGATACCTTGCCAAGAGTTACTTCGAGGTCGTCCATTTTCACAGATGTCTGAAATATGTTTTGTGTCTGGAATCCTTTCACTCCATGAGTGAGAGAGCCCATTGGACCTGAAATTGAAAATATTTGTATGTTGTTCCAAAAGGTAAGCAAATGTTCTGAAATCAGTAAGCAAAAGTTGTATTCATTACTGTGCATTGAATAAAACACATCGAGAAAGAAAACAGTCTGAAATGAAAGAATGAAGAGAACATGAAAGTCTTCATGAAGAAGGCAGAATTACACAACATTCAATTTAAGAAAAGTCAAGTACAATGGAACCCCATTACAACAGTCTACAAATGAAAAGCTTCAGGCCACTGTGCAAGCCAATTCACACTCCCCAGGACACAGCAATTACAAATAGCAAATGCACCATACATTTTGGTTACATCAACCACAACAGCAGTTATAATGGGGTCCCACCATAGATGTTTCTTAATTGTAAAGCAATGATTTCCATTCCAATATTATGAGAACATGGACTTCCAAGAGATTACATGAAGATTTTGATCAACTGAAGCTAAGTGACCTTTATTAAAGTAATATTTGGTTTTCTGAAACAACAAAATCTTCTGAGGATTGGCATTTTGATCCACAAATATGGTCCAAAAAAGGACAGGAGGTGTTGATTAGCTGTCCAATAACTGAACTCACGTCTGTCATGGAAGGTCTCTCACAAAGCCCATGTGCCGTTAAGCCCTTCTGCTATTCGGGTCCTGCCATCTTTATATGAATCATCTATAAGAAGCAAAACATACACACCTACCTTGTACTACAGAGGCAAATCCAAACTACACGTACTAAGGGGAAGTCTACTTACAAATATCAAAAGTATATTTTAACTGCTTAAAAATTACAACCCACTGAGTGTTTTCCTATAATCTGAGAATTATTCAACTGGATAATTTGAACTTTTCTTTAAGGTACTTTAGAAGATGACAGTAAAACATCTTTTCCACATTGCTAATTGCTAGTAATGTTTATTTTTAAAGATACTGTACAGATGAGTGAAAATATGGAACTCAGCACAATTACTACATGTTAATTCTCCAGGCTGAAACTTTTCGACATCATTTGCTACCTATAGAATGATTTCTATTTTGAACAAAAGGACTACAGAAATACTGCTGGAAACCACTGATTTTTCTACTTTTTAACTATGTCATTTAATATCTAATATTTGACCAAGAAAATATTTGTATCATGAGAGATTGCAAATAGATCACAAGTCATCTTCTCTTAACCAGCAAGCCTGCAATAGTTAAAAGTACACTGTTTTAAAAAACATTGTTCTCTAAAACTGTACTCCTTGACTCCAAACTATTAGTTCTACACTTGCTTTAAGGTATATTATTCAAGTGGAAATGATTTTCCATGTTTCACAAAGTTCTGCATAAAGCAGATTCCCAGATTTCACTAAATCCTCCTCTCCTCCTCCCAGGTCACTGTTTATAAAGACTGAGTGCCATGGCAGAATTTTCACGGAGGGTTCACTTGATCAGAACTCTCAAAGAGATCTTGAGTCCTCTCAATAGACTAGCAATTTTCCTTTCACTGTACAAGGTATCTAACGTGCTGAAAATCAGGTGTGGGGTTTCTATCTAAAACTTCTTCCTATCTATTACACCTGTATTGGCATCTTTAAAGAAATTCTTCACAAGAATATTTTAGCTTCCTTTACTGTGAATAGAAGCCTTTGTCCCTGAAACATTACAATTGTTTATTTCCTCTACCCATTTCTTTTATTGATTATAAAGCATGCAGGATTTCAAATGGCATCAGACACCTTCAAATGCTAGAACAAGAATACATCATCACTCTTTGGGGCATATAAACAGTATGTTCATCCCAGTTGCACTATTATAAAACTCAGGCAAATACTAAGCATACTTAAATTAATTTGTCAACTAAAATATAGGTTATAAAGTCTACAAATAATCATCCCATTAAAAAGGCAAAAATCATAATATTCAAATACATGATTCACAGAAAAGCAATCTTAGTTTCACAGCAAGCTTAGTTTTGATATATATATAAAATTAAAAATATTCAATGCAGCACTTATATTACCAATTTATGTTAACAACCACTTTTATTGAAGCATGACAGTAACCTTTTTCTTTGACTACCAAACATGACATAAAGCTCACCATTTAAAATATTATTAAATATTTTATACAGTTTCTTAAGCCATATAAAAGCAAGACTGAAAAACCCTGGGGTTTCTACATCGATTTAGGGTGACTGATTGATTGTTTCCATTTTGTGGCCTGATTTGTTTAACAAGTGGTTCTGAGCATATGGCATTTTGCAGTAGAGTAATCAAAGAACAAAGGATACCAGTTCTTAACATTCAAGAAAGAAGAAGAAGTAATCAAACCTGCTGCAAAATAATGAAATGTTCTGACTAATGGAATAATGTGTGATGGAACAGGTAGAAATCTGAAAATGCGACAGAAAAGCAGACCTCTTCTTAGAACTAGATGCTGAGTTTGTGCTGACTCCGGGAGGAATGTCGCTATAAAAAGAGTCACCATCTCCAGGCTTTTTTACATAATCTCCCTGGGGTAACTGTCTAAGGCATAATAAACATTTCAGAGTCAGAAAACAAGACACACACATGAACACAGACATATACAAATATTATTTCAGGAAAAAGAGAGGTCGGGATAATGATCTACATGAATCAAATCTATAACAACACATGACATTATTAATAAATGTGACAAGTTAAAGTCATTCTATCTGTAGAGATCAGAACTGCAATCACTGACATCTTTTTAGTCTGGATGAGAGAAGTCTTTGTTGGGGGAAGATATGGAAAGATGAGCTTTTTCACTGTATCTTCATCATACTTAAAGACATGTTAACTGCAGTTTTGCCCTTTATTTAAAAAAAATTGCTATTGCAGGAGATGTGTGAGGACAGGTAAGACCTTGCCCAAAGCACCCTTGTTTTCTCACGGTGGTCAATAAAATACTCATGATTTTCCAACACCATACGGTGTGACCTTGATTGGTCTTATAAGATCTGGTTGATTTGTATGCTATCCTACATTTTAATCAAATAATTCCATATCAGAGTCTGGTGTTCCATTTTGAGGTTCCCTGCTTATTTAACAGAAATACAAGAATCAAAAAGGCAATTTTATAAATGTATGTGAGGGAAGATAATTTAGCAAGAGGGTGGAAAGGTGGAAAAAAATAACAATTTTTGTGGAGACTGCGTAAGGATCTTGACAGGTGGACGGCAGGTGACCTCACTTCTCTGACTCCACTGTAGTGGCAGTGGGCATTGTTACCGACTCCCTCATCTAATTGGAACAAATGTTTATGATTTCTCCCAGAGGAATCATGTAGAAACTTTCAGAGAGGGCTCCACCCCTACCCTCTTCAGCCCTTGGGCAGTGGCTAATTTGATCATGTGCCAATGCGTGGTCCGCAAACATCAACTGCATCTAAAGTTGGATTCAGTTCCATTCAGCGCTCTTGTTGAGGGGCCACAGACCAGGGCTGGACTGAGAATCCTAAACAGAGCCCAAACTTCCTGACTCCTTTCCCTTTCCGATTTCTCCTTAGTTACCAGGATAATCGTGTTAGTTGCTGATGCTAAATTTTTTCCCAAAAATGACACTTTTGTGTATTTTCTTTCTTATATTTAGTCCTTATTGTAAATGCTTAAAATAATTGGCCATTTGTTCTGAGTGACTGAATATCTTCTCATGCTATTCCAAAGCTATGTATTCCTACGTCTCTCCATCTCTGAAGATTTCCAATGGATATGAAGCACATATTTGAATTTGTGATATTTAATCTACTTCCCCTGCAATTTAACTAAAGAAAGTAGAATCTCTCTGGCTTGATGGATGAGACTAATTCTACTTGTAATTCTTTGATACAGATTGTTCCAAAATATGTTTTTAATTCTGTAGGTGACTTCAGTTCACAATAGTTATCCTTTCTTTTTCCCAGCATCATATGAAACATCAATTTTAAAGGAAAATAATACCAACCATGTATTTACAGTGTTAACATGCAACATATGATACTGTCTTCTGGTGCAGATCTCTGATCTCTGGGATCTTATTTCCTGCTGTCTTTGGTATCAGTAAAATACTCCATCCATGCTTGAGGAAAAGGTTCTCAATAAAATCAGAGTTCTATATTTTGCCTTGAAGAGCAAACTTGCTTTTAATATCAGATTAATATTTATAAAATAATACCACAGAATGTCCCATCAACATTACTTTTCCAAAAATGATCTTTAGGGTTAACAAATACTTTTTGTTGCTATTACCATTAACAGTGGTCTTTATAAGTCTCTCCAAATTCACATGAAATAAAGACAGGCTATTACATGAGAGCTCTGAACTACATTTCATCTTTCCCTTATCCTATCCCTAACTGACATCCTCTTAACATGGTTCAGTAATGCAGGCAATTGCCTGGCATGTAGCAAGGTTCACTAAGCTCATTCTGCAGGTGGAAATGGGCTGCCTCTCATACGGATGGGGTCCGGACTTGCTCTGCTTTTTTACTGAGCATGTTTTTACCAAGATTTCAATGGAGTTTCCCTTCAATCCCATAGTCATACTTAACACAGGGCACAAATATCCCCAGTGCTAACCACGTAATTGAGGGTTTCTGTCAAGGAGCTGGAGGGGAATTTTGCATCATTGCGCATCTGGGATACCACCTCATTTTTGTCACCCTGGGCAGTTCAGATTCCTATTTATCTGCAATGCAAAGTCTCCAACACACAGAAATTCCTCCTTTGTATTGCCTTTAAAACACTAAAAGAAATGCACGTAACTTTGCACAGTAAATGTCTATGATAGAAAAATAAATGTCGTTAAGGCTCTTAAGGATAACATCTAATGGCTGTCACTGTCTAGATTTACCCTTCACACAACGCTCATTACATACTATAGCTAAGCTACTGCTTCTCCCATTAGTGAGGATACAGAACATCAGCTCCTTGTGATCTGTAAGGTAGCCCCTCATCTGTGATGCAAGATCTTAAAGGACCACCTAGACGACCCCTTCAGAAGCTTTTAACTGAACTTCTTTACTTCTTTTCCAAGTCCTCGATTATCTTTATGGTTTTCTTCCTAAATGTTGAGTGTTTTCCATGTCTCCTCAGATTATGAAATGTGAAGGTGATTGCCATGCTAGGTGGCCTGACCAGGACTAAGTTTTATAATGAGAAAATTACTTTATATGTCTCATATTATATGCAGATATTTTAGACCTGTGCATGATTTTTATTAAAATCATCAAAATAAAATTAATGCTTATGTAACCACGTATTTTCTCCTCAAAAAGGATCCCTTCCCACATTACTGACAGGTTTCTTCCCTATCAGTCCTCGGCATTTCACTCTGATCTGCACTGATGCATTGAGGCTGCTTCCCAGGCTCTAAGATAAGGATCAACCCAGGTCAACTTAATGACTATAGCCAAATACAATGATTTCTCCTCAGGTCTAGGATGGCTGTGTTTATTGGTTATTTGTTCTTTTCTTTCTTCAGAAGACAAAGTCAATCCAACTTTTGACATTTTCCTAATTATAAATCATCTAATTATTGTGTGAAATTTGAACATTAAGTAAGACTGTCTCCTGGATCACCCCAAAAGACTTTAGGCAAATGGCTGCTCCTGTTATAGAGAGAAGTCTGAGCTTTCCTGCAAGCATCCAATGAACTAATGCAGTATTTATTTTTATAGTATTTGTCTTAACAATGCACCTGCATACTGAAAATGAGGGAAAGAAAAATATTTCACCACGTCTTGTCTTTAATACTGACACAGGTTTTCTTCAACACTTGGTTGAAGTCTTGGCTGACTCTTATTGGAATTGTTACTTTAATGTTTTAAGAGCTATTGTATGAAGTGTACCAAGTCACACTGACAGATGCATGAATATCACTGAAAAAATAATATAAAACAAACTAAGAAAGGTTTCAAAAAAAGTAGGGAGTTTGCAAGCAAAAAAATAAAATGCCTAATAACAGGTGAGCGAGAAAAGATGTGGGCTGGGACCTAATTATTCTATTTCTCCTTAATCATAACAATGTACATTCATTTCAGACAAAGGAAAAGAATACAATTTCAGCTGAATATGGATGGCTTATACTTCTCAGTTCAATGAAGATGTCTTACTCCATTGTTGTTTGCAAACCTGCCTGAAAACTGAAACACTTGCAATCCTTATTGCAAACCATACAGCTTCTAGATCCTGAAGTGACTATGCTATAAAATCAACAAACAAAAAATCAATGAAGAGGCTGTGGAAGTTTCCTTTCTGAAGATTTTAAACAAAAGACAGCTCTCCCCTTCCAGTCACCTGATGTGTAAGGCTTCTCCTGGCTTCATGGTTCCATGGCTGTATTCTTCATGAGAGGACAGTGGGAGATTTAAAGTGACACTGTTTAAATGTGGGGTTCCATCTACAGTATGGCCCAGAATGGGGCTCCCATTTATTTATTAAGCAAAAAATTCAACATGGGTTTGCTTCTTGTCTTTCTGTCAGATTTCCAAGTAAACTTTTTAATATACTAAAAACCTTGAGGACACAGGCTCAGGAGGAAGTCTACCAGGTTCTCAGATTCACTCACGGAGTTGCTTGCCTGCCCTCTCCAGTAATCTTAAAGTTATGCCCAGTCTGACATTTCTGAGCCACTACAACACTGATAAGCATCTGATGACTGGCGACATATGCAATGTCTTGCATATGCAAAACTTCACATTCAACAGTACTTCCGCAGCTCATCAAGTAGGTGTGGGTCTCCCTCATGCTGATGCCTGCTTCCGTCCCCTTGGGAACCACCATACCCACCTCTTCCACTAGCAGATCAGAGAAACACAAAGGCTTCAGAGGCCACACACTAAGAACTTCCCTTCCCTAATGCTTGACAGATTATAGAGAACTTTATTTGGTTTTAGCGTTAAAAAAGTTTAAGTGACTTTCCAACATCACATACTAGCAGATTTCTAACTGCTTCTCAATAAATCTTCCCATTATAGAAGTCAATGGAAAATCTAATTTAAAGACAATTAAAATTCAAAATTCTTAATTCTACTTCTTGGCATCCATTAGAACTGGGCAGATTTTCATTCAAATCCTTCCAGATAGTTATTTAAGATGGGAAAATTTCTTAATGCATGCTTTGTTGGCCTTACTGCTTTCTGTATAATAACAGGTATTCCCAAATAGGAAAGCCTTTCAGAAGATGCTTCTGCATTCACAACCTTTTATATAAAGTCTGTTCTTTGCTACTTCTCTATTTTGAGAACAATCTACAAACCTAATATTTATTAGTTATTGATAAGGGCCAAAAAAGGGGGCATTGTTGAAACATATCAAAATATACAAAACAAAGATCCACAAAGGATATGACAATTCTCAAAATATAGACAATTCCAAAAGAGGAGCCAGAGTGATGAAATGATGACTCAGTAACACCAGGAGACAAGTCTATCAGGCACATACTTGGGATTCCTAGTGTGAAAACACTCTTAATTATCATTATACATATATTTTGTTAGATAAGAAATTGGTGCACACTTTTAAATTATCATTTGTGTATAGCATGGGAGAACATATCTTAGAGCACTGTGTTAGCTTTGCTTATGTTTGAAACATTTAATTTTCCTTTTTGTACGTTCAGCAATATTAAGTTACATTACAGCCTTAGTGTCAATGGACATGGAGAGGAAGGCCAGTTTTTCATCTTACTCCCTAATGGGATTTTCCCCTGAAGAAAGCCACCAAACTTAGGCTTCCAATATGACTGATGAACTTCTACACAGCTGAAAGCCCAAGTGGCTTCTACTCTACTAAAAAGCATTTTTGGAACTAAGAGTAGGTAATTCACAAAGAAATTCATTTACTCCTAAAATTTAGTTCATTTGGTCTGCTTTACTTTTTTACAATAATGATGAGTTTGTTATTGCAGGGTAAGGTCAATATTATCTAATATCTATGCAAAATGGCTAGGATTTCAACTGTTACCCCCTGGGCATGATACATCTATAGAGATTTTATAGATACTTCGGCTAAGGCCTTATAGGGATTTTAAATGACAACACAGAGAGAAACAGATGAATAAGGATTAAAATCTTGGCTTATTAAAAGAATTAAAGTTGTGGCTGGGGCCTGAAAGACTATAGCCGCATTTATTTTACCTTATTCCTGACCTGCCATAGTATGCAACGGAACAGGAGGAATCTGCTTAAACACCTTGAGTAGAGAACTAAATGCCCTGTGATGTGCACGATCTGGTCTGGGCTCCTGTTTCTCCAGGGTAGTATTTTTAATTCATCTTGGCAATAGCTAATAGCATTAATAACGTTTTAAATGCAAAAAGCAAACACTGTACTACAATGTTATGTGCTAATTTAGATTTCGATAAAATAGATAAATCTAAAATAAATAAATAAATCTAAAATAAAATAGACAACATGAATGGTCTGCAGCTCCTTACACACTGTTGGCTAACCACAGACTTCAAGGTCCTGCTGCATAGACTGCCTGACTTTATGGGCATTCTGATTTTAAAAACAGATAAAAACAGTAGGAGATTCCAAGTATACAAATTCTTTCTTTTACTACCTGTGTTATTACTTAATCAGTACTAAAATATTTTCTTTTAATTTTTTTTCATCCTATTCCTGTTTCTATGTATCAAAACTCATACTGATCAGTGAGTTCTGATCTACAAAAGAAGGTTTATTTTTTGCACCTGTATGTCAAAATACTTTGTTACATGGAGATAAAAAGGTTCAACAAGTGCCAGAAGTTCCCCTGATAACAACACTGTGCCTAAATATTGTCACTTATAAATGGAAGTTGTTAATATAACAGCAAAAGATAAAAATAAATCCCTCAGAAAATACTAAGCAATTAGAATGTTATAAGAATAAAGTTAATAAACTAATGCAAGCCAATGTGACATCTTAACATTGAGGAAGTCTGTTCTAGATGTAAAAAAAAAAAAAGTCAACTTCTATGAGTATTACTATAAAAATACCACAAGAACCTTGGCTAACAGTAGTATTGTTGGATGAAAGAACCATTAAAATTAAATAATGACATCTATTTTAAGTTAATACAGTTCAAATTAGTAAATTATTATTTCAAGATAATGAAAAATCAAGATTAATATTTGAACATTATAACATAAAAACAAAGTGAATCTGATTTATAATTGCATGTATGAGTTCCAACAAGGCTAACAGGAGTTGAACCTTTCAATTCTATGTTCAGATTATTCTTATCACATACCTCTGTTCTCGATAGTTTCTTTTCATGACAAGAAGAGAAGGGGAAGAAAACAAAAGAGTTAGTTATCTCTGGAGTAGCTGAAGAGGGAGCAGTAAATATAAAAGCTCTAGCATTCTCTGGAAGATCTTCCCTAGAGACTCAGAACTGCAGAATTAAAACAGGGAACACACATACAGAGCTTTCATCTTTGGGACAGATGACACCCAAAGATCTGTGACAATACTGTCACATAACTATTTTTAAAGGCATAAATAAGCTGCCGTTGTTCAAGAGCAACTGCTTCTTACCATTAATTGTGCTGTACTAAATATTACTAATGTTCAAAAGTCAACCTCATTTCAAATGCAGGCTTTCAGATGTATGTACTGATTTAAATAATGAAATTAATAAATGAAGTCACATAAAGATTAACTATATTCTCATAGAAACAAAATCATAATTCATCCCTATTGGAATATATACCCCAAACTATAGCTATTCCTAAGAACTTCAAATACGAGAACATTTCATTGTTCATGAACGTGACAGTGAGCTAACCTGCAGCTGTTAGGTGCTGTCAGGTGCCTCCTAGGTCATTCTGCTTACTCACTGCAAACACCCGTTCCATGTTTAGTTCCTTGACCATAAGCTAAAGTAAGCTTACGTGAGTTTCAGAATGAACTGATCTAAAGGGTTTGCTGCTGTAGTGCAAGTGGCTTTTTCCAAGAGAATCATTAGCTTCCTATGTAGACATAATTATATGTGCATTCTTGGAAGACATGCTAGAAAGGTCAAATGATCGAGTATTTCTGGATTCCTTCCTCTACGGTCAAGGATAATGCTTCTAGATGAACTTCATCTGCTAACCTATTCCATCTACACTACAAGTGTTATGTTTCATAATGGGCATATAGGGTAAAAATGTCAACATGTCGTTACTTTTCATTCCATATAAAATCAGATGAGGTAAAAATAAGCCTAGCATCTTTGAGTCAATATTTTCTAATCTGTATTCCCTCAATCTAATGACCTGAGCTGCACAGTTCTAAATGAGCACTCCTCACTTCCTAGTCCTGGTGGGCCTCACCCCAAGGCTTGGAGAAGAGGGAGAGAGCTTAACTGAAGGCACTAACCAGAAAATGAGTTCTCAGATCCTGAATCTGCTTTTGAATTGCAAGTGAAATGTGTGAAACACCACATTCATGAGTTTAACGCCTCTATTAAAATTTGCATGCTTTCATCTTATGTTTAAATATTCTGAATAAGAAACATTAACACTTTAATCGTTCAGATTCAATAATTTAGGAAGAGGAGCCGGCACTGTGAACACGACTTGTCTTTTTCCCTAATCCATCTGCAAAGTGCACATATTCTCAAGTGAAAACAGTAAGGCCTCGACAGAACGTCAGAAATTCAGAAATCACGCTTTTAACTCTGATCGTGAAAACAAACATGCAATTTCAGGAGCAACAGGAGCAGGTGTGTGGGTTTCATATTTTCTGAAAGGGCAGATTTTCCAAGATTACAAAAATGAAATGTGCTTGCAGCAGGAGGCAGGAAGTCACAACTGGCTTTCCTCTCCATTTTCACGTGACCAAAAAAAAACCACGGAGCTACTTCAAAACGGCGATGCTCACTACCAGTAGCATACAAGGGAGGCCAAGTAAACAGGCTAACCTGCCTGTGGAGCGGGTCAAGGGTGCACAAAGAAGCCTTCCTTTCAGATGGGTAATTTCCTAAGTCTCAATGTTGGGCTGAAGTAAGACTGTTAGTGTGCACTGTACCTCAAAACCTCCCACCAGAGAGGCCCACAGGGATCTGCGTGGGTGTGAGCATGGACCATCACGTAGGACAGGGCTAGGGCTCATTTCCTAGGGCACAGCTCTCTACTGTGCTGAGCCATGTCAGCCATGCTACTCCAATCCTCACCATGGCCATCTGCCACCTACCACAGTCCCCAGAAGGCCTTCTGTGCCTCAGTACTTGTAGCATAAGAATGACTGTGGCAATAAAGGAACTGCTCTTTCTTTTCAAAGACACTCTTTCAGGGTTTATATGCAAATGCCATGTGCATTTTTAAGTTTCCTTTCACCATACAGAAATGATTAAGAAGATATGAGCGGATGCTTCAAACAGTTCTTGGAAAATGGAATTAAAAGATAAGTTTTATTTTGGAGCAAACAAGTTTTGAGATCCATGCAGGATTTTCATAGCACAAAGTCTCCACGAACTTTACAACGACCCTTCATACATTAACTCACAAAACAAAGGTGAGCCAAAGGAAGGGTTCTGGATAATTTTAGTCTATAATATCTAATTTCCAAAATTGCTAGTGATCTCAGTGTGATTCATGAGGAAAAATATGCTATCAAATGGGATAAAATTCTCGGAGTGCAGAGCAGAAGTTGCAGGCTTCTAAAACGAGAAAAACCCTGGGCCTGTGGATTACAACTCCCTCATCAGATCAGCAGAAAATGATTTTTAGTTGAAGTGAAGTGAAGTGAAGTCTCCCCACATTTAAGATTTAACTCATTTAACCTAAATCATCTACTTAAATATTAAGGACAGTTTTTACATCATTAGATAAAAGTTCTTAAAATGAAGACTGACCATGTTAATTATACAAATAGGGTTTGAAGGTGTCAAGGTATTTACTTAGCAAAATGTTTAAGAGTCTCAAATATTATTCAAAAGTTGTATGACTCACAACTTGTTAAAATTTATATGTAAAACCCAAACAGCTGAAAGCTAAACTCAGCAGCTTAAGAAAGAAGTTAGGCTTTCCAAATTTGTAACCTGGGATTGAAATGTTTTTAATATTTATTTACGAAGTAGAGAGACACAGAGAGGGAGACAAAGAGAAAGAGTTCCCATCTGCTGGTTCATTTCCCAAATGCCTGGAATGGCAAAGGGGAGGCTGGGAGCCAGGAACTGAATCCGGGTCTCCCACATGGGTGTCCGAAGCCCAATTACTTGAGCCATCACTGCTAGTTCCCAAGGTCTACTTCAGCAGGAAGCTGGAGTCAGGAGCTGTGGCTGGAATTGAACCAGGCACTATGATATGGAATGCAGGTATCTTTAACTGCAAGCTCAAATGTCCACCCTGAATTTTATTTTACTTTTTAGGATTTGTTTATTTATTTGAAGGGCAGAATGATGGAGGGAGAAGAGAGACAGAGATCTTCCATCTAAAAGGTTCACTGCTCAAATGCCCACACAGCTGGGGCTGGTCCAGGCAGAAGCCAGGAGCCAGGCACTCCATCTGGGTCTCCCACAGGGGTGGCAGGGATGCCCATACATGGGCCATCGCCTGTTGCCTCCTGGGTGTATTAGCAGGAAGCTGCATCAGAAGTGGAAGAGCCAGGATCTGAACCACAGGATTTGCCACAACACCCAGCCCAGAATTTCAATGAATCTCATAACAGTCTTTTCTTCACATAATGGACAAAGAGTGCCTCTTCCATACTGGTCATGAAGACAAAGAGGTTTTGCCTTATGAAGCAGATCAGCTGCTACTCTTCTTGTTGCTGTGAATGTGGCTAGCACAGCACGAAGTGATCTGATTGACTGTCTTGCTCTCATCTGGGGGCATTGGTTCAAGTCAAGAGAAGCTCTGGCACTAAAGAGCAAACCAAACTAGCCTTTGTAGAAGACATAATTTATTCAGATGCCTTTTAATCCACATCAATGCCTTCAACAATATTCAATACTCATAGAATAAAGACAAGCTGTCTCAAAAGTTTCAAAAAATGATCACTTATTATTCCAACTATGCCATGAATAATCAGATTGACCACTGAGTCAGATAAATTTGCACTCAAGTATGAGTCACAAGCATTCTATCTAAAGGCACAGAACTTTCTACATGTTTTCATTTAATCAAAATGCTTAAAAGCAAATTTTGACAGTAATAATATTGAAACATTGCACTTACTTATATCCCCATGCAGTTATTCCTAATATAAGGGCCAGCACTAAAATGGTGCCAGCTATTATGCCTATTATGATATTGGTGCCAGCTACACCTGTAACAAAAAACCAAGAAAGAAACTAGATCAGTGATCTACAATTCGTTCAGGAAATTTACTCTCCAGATTTGTAAGCATTATACTACTAATATTTTTTAAGAAAAAATGAGTATTTTCCAAAGGAAGAAAATCATAGTTCAGTAATTACATCAAGTGTTTTTTAAATAATTTTTTGTGTATGTTGCTTTTTAATTCTTGTCTGAGCACATTTTGCACAGTTGTATTTTCCATGTATTTTCATGCAAAATATGATGTCACTGACATAAAGGCAGGTGCAGTGACGGCACAAAGGGAAAGGAAATGCTACTCCATGGCACAGCACCTGTCAGGGAGGACCCTTTAGAAAGTCTCGGTTCCTTTTGACTGTTAATTCTTTCTCAGAAACTAGAAATGTTACTGCTCACATCACTCCACTTTGGTTTTGTTTGTTTGTTTGTTTTTATTATTATTTGACAGGCAGAATCAGAGAGAGAGAGAGACAGAGAGAAAGGTCTTCTTTCCATTGGTTCACCCCCAAAATGGCCCGCCAACACCGTCATGCTGCGCCGATCTGAAGCCAGGAGCCAGGTGCTTCCTCCTGGTCTCCCATGCGGGTACAGGGCCCAAGCACTTGGGCCATCCTCCTCTGCCCTCCCGGGCCCTAGCAGAGAGCCGGACTGGAAGAGGAGCAACCGGGACTAGAACCGGAGTCCATATGGGATGCCGGCGCCGCAGGCAGGGGATTAACCTAGTGAGCCATGGCACTGGGCCCACATCACTCCATTCTGACAATTAATATAAGACCTTATTGCTTTGGGTCTCTGTGTGGTATTGTCTCTCTCAAAGTGAATATAAACTTCTGCAGGGAGAAAACATGCCTACAGGTTTACAGGATTAGTACATTATATGAGTATAACTTTGCATTATCACAAAAATAATTCAAACAAAAATGTCTGATGGGCAGTTTTTTCTTTCCTTGTGAATAAAGACTATATAAAGACTATACCTACCATTACCAGACAGAGTGATCCCAGCCTTTGTGTCATCATTGTGAGGGAAGTAAGTGTTACAGTCAGCACCTGTCCAGTGCCTGTTACACACACACTTCAGCTCGTTACTGCACACCTGCAAGCCAAAATCAAACAGAATTAATACCAACTCGCCAGTACACAGCAATGAAAAATGAACACTAATTTGTAATTATTTTATGCTTAGAATTTGGTAACACTGAAAACTGTTGGTACTTTCTTCCTAATACTAATAACTTTTATCTCACACTGCAGTACCAGAAAATATATACTTTTTTTTTCTAGAGAAAAAAGTTGACCCAAAAGGGACAATGAATTTTTAAAATTAATTAATTACTGAGAAAGGCAGAGCAACAGAGAGAGAGAGGGAGAGACGAAGATCCTCCATCTGCTGGCTCATTTCCCAAATAGCTTCAAGAGCCAGGTCTGGGCTGTGCAGAAGCCAGAAGCCAAGAATTGCATCTTAGTCTGCCACATGGGTAGCAGGGGCCCGCGCACTTGCACCATCCTCCGCTGCTTTCCTAGGTGCATTATTAGCAGGGAACCAGCATGAAAGTGAAGGAACCAGGACTCCAACTGGTGCTCTGACATGGGATGCCGGTGTCTCAGGCGGCAGCTTCACCTGCTGCACCACAACACCCACTTCAGAACAGCGAATCTCAGGAGAGGAACGCACATAGCTCTTCAAAAACCTCAATGACATCATTGTTTTGACTTTCATTGACTTAAGTTTTATGAGGGAGATTTTTAAAAATTAGCAGCAGACATACAATCATCTGTCAATTATCTAATACAAAAGGCTTTTTGTCTTCTTCCAAGAAGAGGGATTTTGTGCATAACGTTATTAATTTTCTTAGGAAGCAGAAGATAAGGAAACGTGCGACAGAGAAGCGGGGTGGCCTGCTGGTGCGCAGGGCTGAGAGAAAAGCTCCACAAGGAAAACTTCACACTGAAACGGCACCAAATCTTTTTCATTATGAACAATCTCTATGCATTTATTCCGCCAAGAAACAGAATCTACCCCTGAATCTTATCATTCAAAGTAACTCTGAATGGAGTAGGAAGTAGAACAGAGTTAAATTAAGTTTCAGACCAGGAAGTGCTGCCCAAGACAGTGCCTCACGGCACAGGTTTCTGTCTCGTCTGATCTGATTTTTCAGAAGTCAACATCCACCCACATATAAATGTAGCTATAAAAAAGCCCCATCAAGGGGCCAGCACTGTGGTGCAGCAGGTAAAGCTGCTGCCTGCAGTGCCGATAACCCATATGGGCGCTGGTTCAAGTCTCCACTGTCCCACGTCCCATCCAGCTCTTTGCTATGGCCTGGGAAAGCAGCAGAAGATGGCCCAATTCCATGGGCTCCTGAACCCTCATGGAAGACCTTGAAGAAGCTCCCTTTCCCTCTGAGCCTGAAGGCAGGTGTGTCTCCCTGACCCTCTGTGCTGGAAGACAGGTGTGTCTCCCTGTCCCTCTGAGCCAGAAGACAGGTGTGTCTCCCTGCCCCTCTGTGCCGGAAGACAGGTGTGTCCCTGTCCCTCTGTGCCGGAAGACAGGTGTGTCTCCCTGTCCCTCTGTGCTGGAAGACAGGTGTGTCTCCCTGTCCCTCTGTGCTGGAAGACAGGTGTGTCCCTGTCCCTCTGTGCCGGAAGACAGGTGTGTCTCCCTGTCCCCCTGAGCTGGAAGACAGGTGTGTCTCCCTGTCCCTCTGTGCCGGAAGACAGGTGTGTCTCCCTGTCCCTCTGTGCCGGAAGACAGGTGTGTCTGCCCTGCCCCTCTGTGCCGGAAGACAGGTGCCTTTCCCCTCTGAGCCG